TCTCGGAAAATGTTTGTAGCTTTTGAGTTTCATTTTATTGCAGCCGGGAGTTTTGTAGAACATTAAATACTTTACAAAAACAGCAAATAGAAATTATCCGATAATATCCTTTAGAGAGCTTACGCATTACAAGAAAACAGCTTAATGCAAACGATATTTTTTATTTATCCAGATATTTGCTTACAGCTAACTAACTGCAAGTCTGAGTAAAACTTTAAGGATATATTTAGAAAGAGCATCAAATTCTAGCTCTGGAACACTACTTTCAGTTCTCTTCAATTACATTCAAGTGTTCAAAAAATGAGCAAATATATTTACCAAGATCTGCGAAACTAGTATTTTGTACAAACGTCATTTTTGGTATCAATCAAAGATTTGTTGTCAATAAATCAGATTTAACCTTCCGTAGATGTTGTGGAGTCTGCATGGACCCATCTGACAATTTTTCCTCTAGTAGTCCGTCACTATTTGTTGTTTTGGATCATTCCCTTTCTCTAATTTGTAATCCTTAGTTGGCTCATAATATTCTCACTAGAAATCAGAAATAGCTCTAAGGAGGAAGAACACCCATCGTGTTATAAGTATGATTTTTTTTGTCTTGCTAAAGCTCCCATCTATTATCTTTCAATTGTTTTTCCAAATAGGTTTGTTATGATTCGTCTGTGCATTCATCCCTAATGTTAATGACTCATATTTTCTTTGCATAATGTGAAATTTCTGACTATTTTCAGATCAAAACCATATTTCTGCATAGTGTTATTTTTGTCTATTTATCTCGATTGCGTGAATTTGTTACAACCCTTTTAAACATGTAAGAAAATTAAACTAGAAAACATACATTGTCACCTTTTCTGTTATTATAGCATGAACACAACACAGAAGTCAAATTTAAAACGAATTCGAGACATTCTATTGACAGATGAACATGAAATTAATAATAATTTTAGTGATAATCAAGGTTCTGATTCGGATAGTGAATATGATTTTGTTGCGACTGAATCAGACGATACATCTAATAGTAAACATATATCAGAAGAATCTGATTTATCAAATTCTGATACTGAACAAGATGATGTTGTTACAGCTAATCAACCAGAAACATTACAAAAGGATGATGTCACATGGACTATGCATCCAAACTTAGAACAAAGTTGTATAGCTGCTGCTAATATAATGAAAAAAAAGCCTGGTCCTACTATTAAAATTCAGACAATTCTTGATGCTTTTAAACTTTTCTCTACAAATGAAATTCTTGATCAAATTGTTCTTCATACAAATCTTTATGCTAAACGATATTTCGATCAAAAAATAAGATCACAACAAGATTCTAATAGCATAATATTAGATTCACATTGTTGGAAACCAATTGATCGTATAGAATTAGAATCTTTTATTGGATTATTAATTCAATCTGTTGTAAATCGAAGTAATCATGAATTATTTTATGATCTATGTAATATTAGTCAAAGTCGTCCATTATATCGTGTCACGGTGTCTCTTCAACTTTTCAAGCATCTTCTTCAATTTATTCGGTTTGATGATCAAGAAACTCGTGATAAATCTGATCATCTTGGTCCCATTAGATGTATATTTGAGCTTTTTGTCAAACAGCTAATGTTGTTCTTAATTTAGTTGATCATTTGCCGAACAACGTCAAACAAGGTCGATACATTACATTTGATCGTTATTTTACACACATTAAATTATCTGAAGCTTTGTTAGATCGAAAAATGACGTCTATTGGAGTTATCGAACACAGACGCTCGTTTTTACCTGATGAATTGAAAGTATGTCGTCAAAATTTATTTTCATCGTGGTTTTATTTTTCAGGACCACATATGCTTTTGTCCTATCAAGCAAAAGAGAAAAAAAGCCGATCATCATTTTATTTTCGTTATATAAACATCCTGAAGTTTTTGATGACGAGAAAAAATTGCCATATGTAGTTCATGACTACAATCAGACAAAGTGTAGTGTTGATGCTGTTAGTCAATGCATTGAGAATTACACAGTCAGACGAATAAATAGGCGATGGCCAATGAATGTCTTTTACAATATGATAGATATTGCCGCAGTCAATAGTATGACAATTTGGTTATGTCAAAATTCTGAATGCAACAAAGGAAGAATAAATACTCATCGTATGTTTGTATCACAATTTAGTATGGCTTTGACTGATTCACAAAATCAACGACGTAGTCAGCAATCTCGTGTCAAGCCAAAAGTAAAACTTGTCTTGTTACCTCTTGGCTATCATCTTCGATCAGAAAGTGTTGAAGATCTTAAAGTGAACGTCCATTTGAATCCACCAAAAAGAAGCTGTTATTTGTGTCCATCAAAACCCGGAAGAAAAGTTCGGTAAACCTGTCACAATTGTGGACAGAACGTTTGTCTTTCTCATTCTAAAAGCATTACAATGGTCACTTGCCAGACATGTCAAGAGAAGAATTTTAAAAAATTCTATATTCTACCAGGAAAATCAAACAACAACAACTTCATTGTGCCGGGAAAAGTACTGTTTTAGATTTTTTTAATCATGGGAAAAAAGAAAAGAATAAAAATAAAGTTGTTGAAAAAGAGATAAACTCCTTCTCTTCATACCTAATACCAATTATATATGTCGATATACGAGCATATTTCTACTGTTCTATAGACTGAGTGCATTGGATCGATCACTTTTTTCAGCTATATTTCTGTGTGTGTAATGAAATCAATGTCAGACAACTTTTTTCGATATTGTGTTCCTTTGTATTGTCTTTATGAAATGTGACACACATATATTTATGAACAGAGTATTTAGAGGCTTATAGTACATAAATGACTAGCTGAAGTAAAACAAAAGTATCGATTTGTTACAATTGTTTATGGGTGGATCCATCTGGACCCCATAACATCCACGGAGGATTAATGTTCACGAATGAGACATTGCATACTGAATCGTATAAAATTAGTCTGAGCTAAAATGAAAATCTGTATTCGTGATAGAAACACGGAGTATACTTTGGCTGAAGTGAGCAAAGTAGCACATGAATGAATATATGACTAGAATGTCAGGGAAACAAGCAGCGACATCAATCATATCAAATAATATGAGACAAAGTTTAAAAGAAGAAACATTTGTATCGAAAAGGTTGCAGCAAAAACTTCATGATTACAATGATCATGATTATAGCACCTATAGTACAAATGATGCGGATGATGGATGACTTCTTATCATCAATTTGAGTTAAAATCTTTGAATCTCTTTTTGATCGACCGATTCGAATTCACAACGCTTTTGAAACAGAAGGATCAATAAAATAAAGGTCGAAAAGAGTTTTCTGATATATCAATTCTTTGTCATAAAATAAAATGAATACATCGATTATGACGAAGTTCTTAATAGGAAAACAAACTCAAAAGATTATTAAATCATGTCATGAAGTGGACGATAGCTAAAAATTTGTATTAAGAGATATTTGTTTGTTAACTGCTTAGATTTTCAAAAATTTTAATCAGTAGCATTCAATAAATTCTTGTATTATAGTTTAGGAAGCATATTGTTTTCAAAGCGGATTAAGATCATCTTGAAAAATGATGCCATATCTCAGAAGAAAAGCAACTGGATTTTTTCGTGAACTCTATAATAAGATGCAGTAATGTCGACTGTAGATAGTGTTGTAAACTCGAATCATTTTTCTTTTTTTGGCTTAAAGTTATCCCAAAAATTCCCATGTCCATTTAACTCTGAAATAGAAATTAGTTTGTTTCGTCTATTTGTTCTGCTGACGATGTTATTCTATATGTGCAATTGATAGTCTGATGCGATTAATATCGAATGGCGCAGAATACATGACACCTCAATATTTTGGAAATGTCTCTTTCAATTTCCATTGTCATCTTGTATCGAATAATCCAAAGGGTTTAGATCGAGATTATATGGTGGCCAATGATCTTTATCAATGAATGATGCAAAATTGTCCCGACATCATGAGTGCGTGAAATGGTGAATATGTAGTTTTGCAACATCTTTTTGAGAGATCCAATAGTTTCCGCAGACCTTGTTGCCGTATTTCAGTGCTACAGGAAGCATCTGCAGTATATATCAAATATGGTTTATCGAACCGTCTTCGAAAATAATTATTGATGAGACTTCCTTGGAACACACCCCTAAGCAAACAATAATATTTTGAGGACATTTTCGTGTCTGCATCAAGGCATCTTCCTCGTCCGCTACAGCACGATTCACTCCCCACACCAGATCGTTATGAATCTTATAAACGGCGTCAATATCGAATATTTTTCTTGTCGAAAAAGTGAATTTTCATCGTCTCTTCCTTTTGAAATTTTGTTCTAACCTAGTTAGCAAAGTTTTTTCGTTTGTCTTTGTGCTCGTCAGTGCGCACTGGTTCAAATATTTTGTACAGGGTTGAAGATCCACATCACTTGTGAGTGTTCGCTGCATACTTGTTCTC